TAAAACTCTCAACATATTCAGAGATTTTTTTTTTTGGGTGTAGATGAAATATATCGCAAGAAGGAATGGGATTTTGAACAAAGTGCAGTAAACACCCTAAATCTAGGAAATCATTTGTCAAGTCTTGATTTATCACACACTTTGACTGTTATTTTGGATGCTTCACCGTCTCCGCGGGTGGGCAAGATGGTGTTGTATCCCATGTTCATCCTATGCAAGATTCGATGGCAGTCGGAAAATATGGAATTAATTCAGAGCTGAAGCATTGGGATTTGTCGAGGGGGAAAAAATCATGCAAGAATAACAAGTAGAGATTTGACAATGTCAAGTTAAGATTACTTGTAGGATATTTCTACAAAAGGCACGTGCAAGATGCCACCGACAGTGGGTGTTGCTCCCATTGCTATTGTTCGTTCCGCAATCACTCTTGACCCTGATCACTCGTACTATTCCTAGGGGCTGCTGACAGCATCTAGGCTGTTAGGCTTGTTGATTTAATTAAAATCACGGCTGTTATTTATTCATTTTTTTTATTTTTTTATTTAAAAATATAAAAAAAATTAATTTTTTAATTCTCTAACTTTTAAATTACTTATAACTCAATTACTCAATTATAACTTATTGTAACTCAGTTCCTCAACTATAACTCACCTATAATTTAATTCCTTAATTTTTAAATTACTTATAAATTAGTCCCTTAACTTTTATTAATTTTTTTCATATTAACTTATATCTCACATCAATGAGTAAGAGGAGGGTATTTTAAAATAATATATGAGTATTTTTTATCTCTCTTATTTGGTGAGATTTTTAAAAAAAATAAAAAATAAGGATAGAGTTATGGTGAATCAAAAGTTGAGTGATTGAGTCGCAGCGAGTCATATTTGAGGGATTGAATTACAAGTGATTTAAAAGTTAAAGGATTAAAAGATTAATTTTTTCAATATAAAAATATTTTTAATTAAATCTAACCATTTAATAAAGTAGTTACCTACTTTTAAATTAATCCTATTTTTTTATATCTATCTTATTATTAAACACATTATAATAAATATGAACTCATTTATTAATAGAGATATATTTAAAAAAACAGTGATTACATTTTAAAAATTAAAAATATTTTATATTTTTTAACATTTAATTTTTTTAAAAAATATTTTATATCTTTTGTCGGAAGAAGTATCTAATTCACACAAGCATATCATTTTCACGCAAAAACTAAACAAAGACTTCAACCAAGAGAACTAGATCGCACATAGACTGTTTTATGCATGAGTGTACGGTGCAGGAAAACAATATGCTGCGACTACTCTTTTAAAATAATAGAGGGTCCTAATTCAACCCCGTGGGGTACAACATCTTTCAAGTTTGAACCCATGGTGTCCATGGAGCCAACCCGATCCTTTCCTTGCTTTCAATATATATATATATATATATATATATATATATATATATATATAAAATTCTGCGAAATTTTAGACAAGTTATACTATTATTTATTGACCCATAAATAGAGTTAAAAATGAATTTTTTTTATCATATTTAATGTAGAACATTAAGCCCTCACAAAACTAATATTACACCGTTGGAACTCGCCTATCACTTTATTCTAATTGCCTCATCTATAATTTAATTTTTATCATGAAAAACTCTCATTTGGATATCACTTGAATTGTTTAAAACAATCGTACAAATAAACTAATATTGGAAAACACGTTAAAAACACAATAACATTTTTTTCTTTATTTTTAAGTAACCGTTTACCTCTTTTAATTTGATGAAAAGTAGCTGATTTTAACTTCATTGCATACAGAAAAATTAATGAAAATTTGTACATATTTATAAGTCATAAATAATGACACTTACATTCAATTTTATCTCGTACGAGAAAACTTAAAATACAAATAGACAAAACAATATTGGAGTCGAGTTGCTCTTGAAGAAATGTTGTTTGAATTGAGCTGGGTTGGGGTCTGGGGCGGCTCTGGAACTGGACCTGTGGGTAGCCAAAATGCAAAACAACATTATAAGGGAGCTAAAATTAGTTTAGCATTTTTTAAAAAAGAAAAAATATATACTTTTTAAAGTTTTTTTTTTTTTTTTTTGGTGACCTGGGTTTTGGGGAGAAATCCGCCCTTGGCTGGGGTAACATAAGTGGTAACAGAGCAGTGCTGTCTGCGGTGGGATGGCGAAAGCGGTCATGTGGGGCACAATAAACACTACTGTTAACACGTGGACGAGCTTGGATTACGATCCCGTGATGACTCAGTACTCCACGTGGCAGAAATAGAAGAGGAGGGATCAAGGTGGGTCCTACATTAAGCTCTTGAGTAAGGGTGTACACAGGATGGGATGGAATCGACACACTCCTATTATATGTCCCGTCTCAAAAAATTACCAGGACTACATTTTTATCATGTATCCTGTCCTTTTCAAAAATCATGCCATCTCATTAAAAATTAAAAATAGGACTTGAATAAGATCGAGACATCTCACCGCTTCGATAAAGTGGACAATGTGTGAGAAAATCTTCAATAATCACATTCATTAATTAAAATTTTAAATCATATAACTTATTAAGTTTAAAATTAAAACAATACAAGTATATAAATAAAAACAATTATTGAATTGCATCAATAATAATTATAAACGTACAATTTAAAGTTAAGTATACATGAGATATAGCATGTTATAATAGCAATTACAACTGATTTATAAGCTATAAAAACAATAACAATGGACAAGCCTAACACAATATTAAGCCATTATTCTTTTTTTTAATTGAAATATGTTAAGCTAATGACTTTTCATAAAGTAAAGTAAAAAATACGAAATAAACAAAAATTATTGAATAAATAGATATAATAATAAATTATATTAATATAATTAATATATTATAAAGAAAGATATTAACATGTACTGCTTACTTATCATTAAAATTATTAATATAAAAAATTTAATTTTAAATAAGAATAGCAAGTATTGAAATTATAATTAATAAAAGTATGAAATATATTAATATGATTAACATATTTAGTATATATTTTTAAAATAAAAAATAATATATATATTTATATTTATATAATATTTAGGACGGGATGAATGTCTCGAGAATAATTTCATATCCTGTCTTGTTTCACACAATTCTATCTTAATTATTTTTAAATTGAGACAAAATTTATTTTAATATGATTGGAATAAAATCAAAAAAGTGGGATAGATATAAATTGAATGCCCTATTCATGGGCGACGAGTTAAAGGTTGAAGACGAAGACGCCTACTAATCCCCCGCCATCCGACCCTATGGACTCTTAGCCCATCCTTCTATTTTTCTATCCAGTAAATAATAGCAAACAATTTGTCATTTGATTTAAATGGAAGTTTGGCGGCTTCAATTTAATATATACTTTTTTTTTATGCCATTGGTCCAAAAAAAAAAAAGCGCTTAATTCTCAAGTTACCCCGATCATCAGAGCTCCTCGTCGTTAATGATGGTGGCAATAACAATAACAATAAAAATAACAATTATTATTATTGTATTGAGTAAAGTTTAAGTAGTCTTGTCCCAAAAAAAAAAAAAAAGTTTAAGTAGTCATACTTGACGTGTTTTTCAGCAACCCTTTGCTGGCAAAGGCATTGTCTTGCTTGTGATGTTCGTCGTCTTTTTTTTGAAAATATTTTTTTTTAATTTAATTTTAAAAAATGATAATAAAATCTTTTCAAATTATATAAATAATAATTTAATTTCTTAAAATATCACAATACCAATAAAGTCTCTACATACCTCTTTATCAATAGCATTTTTAAGAGAAAAGATCATTTTAATCTTAGTAATAAATTGTGACTTTTTTAATTTTTGTAATTTTTTGAAAAAAATTTTGATTTTTTAAACAAAAGTTATGAATAATTTTTTTATTTTTAAAATTTATTTTTTAATAATAAAAATTATACTTAATAAATTATAATTTTTTATTTAATTCTTACAATTCACAAAACAAAATTGTTAGCCCTTGAAGAAAAATTATGATTGGACTTATTTTTTAATAACAAAAATTATACCTAATAAGTTATAATTTTCTATTTAACTTTTGTCATTTACAAGACAAAAATTGTAATTTTTCAAACAGACGTTGTTATTGAATCTTATTATTTTAATAAGGATAGAATTCATTTTTTTAAAAAATTATTAACAAAGAGGTCTTTAAAAGTTTTATTTGGTATTATAACATTTTGAAGGATCAAATTATCATTTATATAATTTATAATGACTTTATTGTCAATTTCTCTTTTATTTTTGCATTATACGCCGGGCTAAAATAAAAATTGGGATTATACATGCAAGCGAAATTCATCTTTGTTCGCATCAGTCCATCGGATTATTTACTCACAATAAATATTATGTGATCAATGCAACATAATCATATCATTATAAGTGGAAAAGTTCAATTAATTCCATGCATAAAATAGAAAGATAGTACGTATTATGTAAAGACTGGAAAACGAAGCAAGTTAAATGTAGTGTGACGTCATTTTATGAAAAGGACAAAATTATTTCTATATAAATGGCCACAGTTTTGCCTCATGAATATTTTGCCTTTTCCTCCGTTCTGATAGTCACATTTAACTATTTTCGCGCACTCGAGTCATTTTACTAATCTAATGTTATCTCCAAACTAATCCACACCACGTTGACCTCATAACTGATTATTAATAAATATTAATTAATTATCCCCTGATTATAATTACGCATAACAAGATTATAACTTCTAATGCATTATTCTCTATAAAATAAGAATAGAAAATGCTTCCAGAAAAAATTTGTTCCAACAAAATGCAGTACGATTTTTTTTTTTTTTGCATAAATTAAAATCGGAGTGATGAATTATTGATGTCTCACCTATGAGGGGCCCGGTTGTTAAGTCATGGGGCACCGAAAACTTGTGAGGCCGCGCTCCGGTAAAGGCAATGACAAGCAAGTTAAAACGACTTCATCAAAGTAGGCTGAGTAGTTGTGGTTGTAGCTTATAATTCCCTTTCTCCTTTCTCGTGTGGTGCGTGTGTGCAAGTGCAAACTCGAGGTTCATGAGCGATTCTTGTTTTAGCAAAACACAGAGACGGTTGAATTGAAACCAAACCTCTCGCTGCCCCCATTCGTAAGTCGCCCAGGTTCATATTATGAGCCTTGCTCAGAGTACAAACTTCAATTACCGGCGACAAAACGACATATTTCATTGAGTTTGACGCGATTGCTGAAACTGACCCGTAACATGCAAATGCTGCAAGCGGGCCTGGCCGGAGAAGGCAGTGACGGGAAATCAAATGGCCGGACAGTGTTGGTGGGAGTGAAGTTGGATCCTCCCAGCAGGGAGTTGCTCACATTGGCTTTGGTTAAGGTTGCTCAGCCTGGTGATTTTGTGGTTGCTCTTCATGTTCTTGGGGACGATGGTAAGTGAATTTGCGTGCGACTCGGGGTTCTTGGTTAGTGCATTCGGTTCTTTTCGGTTTTCTTGCTTCTGGGTTTCATGAATCGAATTGAATTTGACTTGTTTCGCCGATGTGGTTTTTGTATAGAAATTGTGAACCAAGACGGGAAGGCGTCGCTTCTTTCGCTTGTCAAGGCATTTGACTCTGTTCTTGCTGTTTATGAAGGATTTTGCAATTTGAAACAGGTATTCTTATACAGGCCTTTTTCTTCGGCTAAAATGTAATTTTGCGGCTCTCTGCCAATCGCTTATCGAGTCTAGCAAAACTTTCTTTTCTTCCTTTTTGCTTACTTTTGTGAAAAAGGAGCCGGCTTAACTACTTTCTGGGCATAGCTTACTTTAAAATAATAGAAAATTTAGCTTGCAGTCACTAAACATAAAATATCAGATATGAGATTGTTGTGGCAATGATACAGGTGGATCTAAAACTCAAAATCTGCAGAGGCTCGTCAGTCCGGAAAATCTTAGTTCGAGAAGCAAACGCCTGTTCTGCAACTCATATTTTAGTGGGAACTGCTCAAGGTCTTCGTAAAATGCGGTCATCTACCTCCGTAGCTAAGTACTGTTCTAAGAAGCTATCCAAGGACTGCTGGATTATTGCTGTCAATAATGGAAAAGTTGTATTCAAGAGAGAAGGCTCATCAGCCGCTCCTGTTGACTTGCAAGGTTTCGAACTTCCTTAGAGCGTTTTGAATCTCATGAATACTGTATAATTCTCACTCGTCAAATTGTTACAGGAATGGATTGTCATGGCAGAAATGGCTTGCTTGCTTCAATTCACCGGACATTCAGTTCTAGTTCCAGAGTACTAGATGATGGCAACACAGGAATGCTTGACAAGGGTACTTACAAATCTTCGGATAACAGCTTAGCCATGGCCTTTCTCGATTCTACAGAAACCGTTCAGAAACAGAGCTGCTCACTTTGTGGTCCAGCATATGCATTGCCAAATTCTGCTTGCAACCAATGTGCGGAAGAGTCTTCTGGTGACAGTGGCAAAGAGAATTCTATGTCTATAGTGCTTGCACAGACGACCGAGGCAGCATCAAGTGCTAGCGTTCTGTCAGTCACAGAATTACCTGAACTAAAACCCGGTTGGCCACTACTACACAGGACAATTTCATCAGGTCGGCAATCTCTTGACAGGTCATTGGTGCGCCAGATCTCAGTGGTTCAGTGGGCAATGCAACTGCCAAGTAGAAACCCTTCATATGCTGGGGATCATGTTCACAGACCAGTCAGTTCTGGTCCCGATCATCATCAATCTTTGGGTCTAGATAGCGAGAGTGGTGCTATTGTTCCTGTAAATGCTCAAATAGGGACTGCCTCTTCGCCTGACCATAATTCAAGGAAAATTCCTGAAGAATTGAAGTGTCTTTATGAGAAATACTCATCAACCTGCAGATTGTTTAAGTACCAAGAACTTTTATTGGCTACATCAAATTTCTTGCCTGGTGTGTTGTAAATTGTAATACTAATTTAACTCTTGAAGTTCAATTTGTCAAAAAGTATTTTCCCCCCTAATGTGGTTACCTTCATGATTTCAGAAAATTTGATTGGGGAAGGAGGAAGTAGTCAGGTTTATAGAGGTTATCTTCCTGATGGCAAGGAACTAGCAGTTAAGATCCTAAAGCCTTCTGATGATGTTTTAAAAGAGTTTCTTTTGGAAATAGAAATTATCACTACCTTGCATCACAAAAACATTATTTCTCTCCTGGGATTCTGCATCGAGGACGGCAATCTTCTTTTGGTGTATGATTTCTTATCAAGAGGAAGCCTTGAAGAGATTCTTCATGGTACACCATCATCCATCTCTAATTACATTTCATGGTCTTGGTAACTTTTTATTTACATCTTTTTGTTCATGTCAAAATAGGGAGCAAGAAAAATCCACTTGTGTTTGGTTGGACTGAGAGGTATAAAGTGGCAGTTGGTGTTGCTGAGGCTATGGATTATCTGCATAATAGAGATGCTCAACGTGTGATTCACAGGGACGTAAAATCATCAAATGTATTATTATCTGAGGATTTTGAACCCCAGGTAATTTTCCTTCTTGCATATTGATTCCCATAAAATTTTAATTGTTGGCATAAGTGAATCTTCAATCTTTTTTGCTTAATTTTCTGCAGCTATCTGATTTTGGGCTTGCTAAATGGGCATCAACCTCGTCATCTCATATAACCTGCACAGATGTTGCTGGGACCTTTGGGTTTGTACTTTCGACTCCTACATACTTTATCTCATCCATAAATTTATTAGTCGCCTTTGAGAGAAAGTACTCATGAGGTGGTCCTAAACTTGAGTATACTTGTTTTTTTAGCTACTTGGCTCCAGAGTATTTCATGTATGGCAAAGTAAATGCTAAGATTGATGTCTACGCCTTTGGAGTTGTGCTCCTTGAGCTTCTAACAGGAAGAAAGCCCATAAGTGGTGATTATCCTAGAGGTCAAGAGAGCCTTGTCATGTGGGTATGTCTATGCAATCCGGATTCTAGCCTTTGCTCCTTTACCTCTTTTATCACATGTCGTGGTCCAATTATTTGTTTAAAATTACTTTTCAGGCAAGTCCAATTCTGAGTAGCGGAAAAGTTGCACATTTATTAGATCCAAGTTTGGGTGGTAACTACGATCAGGACCAGATGGAGAGGATGGTCTTGGCAGCCTCACTTTGCATCAGACGTGCCCCGAGAGTTAGGCCTCAAATGAGCCTTGTAAGTTATCCGATGGGGACCCTCCCTCTGGAAAACGACTTGACTATTTATTTTGCTTTTCCTACGTGATGATTCATGCGGTTCTACAATTGTAACAGGCATAGCTGATTCCTTGTCTTTATTGTCTTGTTTGAACGCGGCATAATATTCTCACTTGTTGTCGGTGCATTAAAATTTTGTATGTCTATTATTTTGGAGCGCAGATTACGAAGCTCCTTCAAGGTGATGCTGATGTAATTGAGTGGGCAAGGTTAGAAGTTAATGCTTCTAAGGCATTAGAAACGCATGATGATGAAGCTTGTCCACCTTCTAACTTACAGTCACATCTCAATCTAGCATTCCTTGATATGGAGGATGACTCACTCTCCATGTGCAGTATTGAGCAAAATGTCTCCTTAGAGGACTACCTGAGAGGCAGGTGGAGCCGCTCATCAAGCTTTGATTGAGCAAAATATCGGCAAATTGCCAGAAAAAACTCTTTCCTCTTAACTGATGGATTTGTAGATAATACTTACTTGCCGCTTCTATTTGCTTTTGCATCCTCAATGGGATCTCATAAATGGGTTTAGGATGGGAGGTTGTTTGGGTGCCCTCCACCTTCCCTAATAGTCAGAAAGCTAGTATGTGAATTTTGGAATATTTTCCCTTATGATTGTAAATCTATTGGAAATTGTACCAGTTTTAATCCTTTGTCTGTATGGATAAATTTGCAATGGTAATGGTCTAAAAGATGAACCAGTTATATCATATATGTTGATCAGCAAGGCTATGAGCAATTTTGTGTGTGATGCTAAGCTTGCGATTGGGGAAATTTAACAATTTGGTTCCATAGTTTACTTAAATTTTCATGTAGTCCTCTCAATTCATAATTTGGCATATCGTTCCCCAACATTTTAAGTGTTGGGCAAATTGATCCCCATAGTTATGATTTTTTTGAAATAAATCCTTAAATCTTCACATCATAAAACAGGATTGTGGTATGAGAGGAGATAGGGAAAGAAAGGAGGAGGTAAGGAGTTCCTCAGACGTTTTTTATTCAATAATCATTAAACAGCCCTAGCTTTATTTATTGACCTTAATAATAATAATAATAATAATAATAATTGAATTTAAAGTTTAAAATTAATTTAGATTTTAAAAGAGGTTGATAGGATACTAGTATCTTATTTTATTGGAAATAAATAATACTAAGATGATAATAAATCATAATTTTAATGGATAAATATTTTTATTTAAGTATCTCTAATAAATAACATTGGACTAAAGTATATATTTAATCATTTAACTTTACACAATATTTTATTTTAGTCCCTTAATTTTATAAAGTATTTTTTTAATTCTCTAACCTTAACATTGTGCATTTTATCCCAACAAATTTTTACATTGAACCTTTAAATATTAACATAGTGTTCTTGAATATTGACATATTAAGTTTAATTTTTTAAAATAATAATGATTCATACAAAAAATGATTATTTAAAACTAATGATACTAGGTAAAGATTAAAAAAATACTTTATAAAGAACTAAATTAAAACCTTATATAAGTTAGATGACCAAGAGTATACTTTGGCTAATAACATTAACATCTCTAATTATATTAATTAACTATTATCTCATATTTACAAGTAACTTTATTTTGCTTTTTAATTACCCCTTTCTCATCCCAAAGCTCGCCCTATCCATAGATCTTCAACAGCGTGTGTTTCGTTAGTCTCCTATTACCAGTTATTTGATGTTTCTGGCATGCACAAGTAGTTTCAAGGTAATTAACAATTCCAGATTGCAGGGAAAAAAGCAGTTCCGAAGAATTATTTAATAATTACTTTTTATGGTTGCCTATAGTCATGATATATTACTTGCTTGTTTTCTTTTCCATCCAATAAGATCGTGTAGAATAATGACTCAAGTCAACGATTCTTAATTCCGTTCCCTAGTGAGCCTTGTAGGTAGATCAAGCAGCCAATTTCTAAATCCATTTTGATTAAAAGTTGTTGATTTGATGTTGCGTGCCACAAATCAAATAGTGGACCTCTGCGTCCAATAACCATGCTTCCCCTTTGACATTTAGAAAAAATGCAACATATCATTTTTTTTACACATCTAAATCTCAGCCATTCAATGTTGTTAACTAATCATAACCATCTAATGCCTTTTAACCCCAAAAATCCCTCATCTCTTCCTGTGACTCCAGACCACGCTCATCTTCTTTCTTGCCAAACTATGTTCGTGCCATGCAGGAGAAAGCAATTTGCGCGGCAAATGGAGATGATCGAGAAAGGCACCTCATGTAATGATTTTAATGGGTTTGATGACTTTTTAAATTGTGAAAATGATGAGAAGTGGTTGTGATGAGGGGGAAAAAATATTTTCCTGCTTTTTATATACTGGCAATTCTAGAAAATTGATAGGAGCTTATATGTGGGTTTTGATGTCTTTTTCTGGTTTTGTAATTCTTGGTTTGTATCATTCCTTGACTTTTATGTGGATTCTAAAAAATGATATGCTGCGTTTTGTTTGGATGCAGAGGGGGAGCATGTTTATTAGATGCGGAGATTAGCAAAAATATATTTTTCAAATAAATAGCTCAATGTTCCTCTTCACATCTAAATGGACATGATTGATTTTCAAAGCATTTTTTTTATTATGATTTGGCACCACTTGAGATTACAAATAGGCTGTGACTTGAAAATCAATAAATTTTTTCTGTTGGTATGTTTGGTTGCGGGAATTCTACCAGAATGGAGAGGAATTTTAAAAAATTCTCTCGTTTAAAAATGCTTCATTGTAAGAAAGACTACTCTCATAAAATGAACATAGATATTTTTTTTTAAATTTAAGAGGCTTTTTTTTGTATATTTTTAAAATGACTAAATCTTTTACTATAAAATGAATACTAGAAAAATAGTGTAATTTTGTGGCCAGTTTTATATTTGTACCTTCTTGTTATAGCAACCAAGAAAAATGAATGCTGAAATTTGATAGATTGAGAGGCTAAATCAGCCTCACAAAATATTTTTTTTTTGTTGGGTATTGATCTATTAACGATGAGCATCATAAATTTAAATTTAATCATATCTGTTATACAATTTTAAAATGTAAAATATATTAAACATGCATTTTAAATTATTTACTTTTTAATTTTTTTAGAAAATTGCGTATCTATTATCCATGACTATAACTATACGGGACCATTTATCTATTCAATTTTTTAAAAAAATAATTTCCAACTCTTTTTTAATTTTTTAAAATTTAAATTACATTCCTATAATTTATTTTCAAGTTTTTATAATTTAATATAATGAATTTTTCTCATATATTTATACATCTTTCAATTTATGGGCCAATCAATCACGGATTGCATGCAATCCTGATTCAGCGGTACTGGCCAGCCCGTGTTTGATCAAACAGGCAGAGAAGCGATGATTGCAAGTCAAACACGGCTATCCGTACCACATCAACATTCCCACGAACCTTTACCAAAGCAAAGTTTACTTGCAACGCTCAGCCTTCAGATTCACAAGAGGAACGCGAGTCCTAGAAGGCACACAGTGGAAGCTTAGATTTCCGATTCTTCGGATTCCATCCATGGATCATCCCTCCCACTTCCATCACCAGCACCAGCATGCAAGGTACGCTCCTCTTCCCCCTCATCACCCGCGCCATTCGCAGTTCCCCGAAGATCCCCGTTTGCGCCCTCACCACCTTCCTCTGCCGCCACAGCCGCCGGCACCAACTCTTGCACCCCCGCCCCCTCCCCCGTCTCTTTCCTATCGAACAGTCCGCACCCTTCCTCCCCCGCATCCCCACCCCTACAATCCTCCTCATCAATCCCAGCTTTCTTTGAACGCCCCGAACTATGCCCACCGTCCGGTTGAAGAAGAACGCCCTGTATCTGCTAGCCACCCTCATGATTTTAGTCACTCGCAGAGGGTTTCAAATCGGATGATTATTGATAATGATCGTCCTCGACATGGTTTCTCTGATTTCGACTATCGCAATGCCGATAACCGCATCGGTGGTTGGAACCCACCGAGGGTTTTGTCAGATAATCGGCCGTCGAGGCCTTACCCTCCCGTTGACTTTGACCGGGAATTGCATCATCAGCACCCATCGAATCACAAAATAGCGGCGCCATATCCGCCAGTTGATAAAGTTAGGTATAATTCAGAGGGCAACTCGAGGGGAAGAGTTGATCACAATGATGGTTATGAAATCAAGACAAGGGAGGAGTTTGCATGGGGTAGAGGCGATGAGAAATATCATCGCCGCGGGGATTTTGCATCAAATCTCAATGCATCTTCTGGAGACTTCGGAATCATGTCTAGTCAGAGTACATTATCAAGGGATCTTGATTCGAGAAATGGGGATTATGCGCATTACGGCATGGAACGGGACAACGAAATATCTAGGTGTACCAGAAGAGATGGACTTGGTGATAGCACGAGGTGGATAAATGATAGGAAGGGCCCCAGAGACCCACACAGTTTATCTTTTGAATTGGGAAACAACGAGAACGGTGGTGATGGTATTCGGGTAATGGCCGGGAAGTATTATGGTTCAGAATTGGGTAGATATAATAATAGAGGGAACAGGGAATCTGGTTATGAATTCAATCGTGCACCAAAGAAACAAATTCAGAAAAAGAGCGCACTTCTTAGAATTCAAATTGTAAAACCAAATCATAAGAACCGTGAGGTTGAACAGTTACAATATACCAGTTATGGTGATGACTCAAACTCTAATTCCTTTAGAGGCAAAGATCAATTTGAATATTCAGGTTTTGGGGTCAGAGGAGAAGAGAGAGAAAGAAGCCCTGTTGAGCTTGATATTTCTTTTAAATCAAATTCTCTGGTGGCTAAGGCCATTGTGGCACCTTCAAGTTCTGCAATTTCTGATGCAGATATCTCCGTTTCTGATACTGATTTTGCTCCTGCAGAAAAGGGAAAAAATGGTTTGGTCTCTGACAGTGATTCTCCTGATTTAAAACCTGCCAAACCATCTATGGCTGCTGGAAACTTAGGCGGCTCACCTTGCAAGGTAAATTGCATCCCTAGTTCTAGCAAGGAATTTAAGTTACAGAAGAAGGTCTCTGATAGTTCTCAGCTTTGTGCCACTGTAACTGCTAATTGTCATGGAAAAAATGAGGGGGCTCAAACCCCTAAGGGAATTCTTTCTCATGAAATTACCAACTCTTGTTCTGTTAAAACATCTCCAAGGGTTGCTAAGAAGAAAAAAGTTGTAAAGAAAGTGGTGAAGAAAGTTGTTTTGAATCCTGATTTAAATGTCTCCAGTTCCTTGTCATTGAATATGCCTGACAGAATTCTGAAAGCTGATAATGCTAGTCCTTCATCTACCTATGGATCTGACAAAACTGAAACTTCTTTAAAGGAGAAAATAACTGCTGTTGACAAGGTGTCCTTGCCAGATAATTTACTGTCTTCTCCGGAGGAAGGACATCTGATGCCCAATAATAGGAAGGAAGATGTACCTCTGCTGAGTACAGGGTCACATACCAGTTCACAAAAGCATGAGGCTGATGATAACCTTGATATGGGGAAAGTAGACGGAATTGAAAGAAGTGAAAACATTTCTAATTCTTCATTGGGTGCTTTTAGCATTAAAGATGAAAAGAATGATTCTGATTGCCCGAATGCAGGTGATTTTGTCCATGGCTTGCATATCAGTCCAAATACTGAAAAGGCTGCTAAGACTAAGTCAACCAATGGAACTTCTTTTTCTGATACCAGTAACAGCGATGATGTTGAGATGCAACTTTTTCAGAGTGAAGTGTCCCTATCACCTTGGCAGTATTCAAATGTACAATATTTAGATAATCAGTTTCAGGTAGAAGATGATAAGAACAGCAGACTGTCAACATCGGCTGAGAGTGAAATTAACACAGATGTTATAAACACATGTAATTCTGCTAATGTTAGTCTGGCTTGCTTGAGTTTTAATGAACTTACTGGTAATGCACTAAAGAACATTACAGTTTCTGACTTTGGAAATGATGGCAAGCTAGATTGCAAAACTAAAGCTCTTGCATTAACTGACAGCGTTATTTTAGGAGAAAACCTAGAGACTTGCTCCCCTGTACCAAGCGGTGAAATGGATGGTCGAACGTCAAGTTCTGGGGAAACTAGGATTTCAGATGGTCAAGAATGCCCAAAACATTCAAGAGTACCCATGCATGTTTCTGGTAATAGCCCCACTAATTCAGAAGAAAATATCATGGTTCCCCATAATGTTACTGTCAAAGATTCTGGAAAGGAGGCATCCCCTGTGGATGTCAATGCATCTCCTGAGACTTGTACCACAGAGCAGTCCCCAAATGCTAATTTTTTGGTTGTATTTGCTGAAGGAGATACAAATTTGTCCAAAAAAAGAAAAGTTGAGACACGTGTGAATTTTTCAAGTTCAGATATCAGGGGCATATCTCCAGACCCTATACATACAGTTAGCCTTGCAAATGTCCATACAACCTTAAGTCTGGTTAAGGATTCAAGTGTGTCTGAAGTTTTAAATCCACATGTTCAAAGCTCAAATTTTTGCTTACAATCCAGCACAGATGGGGTTAATGTTTTTCATGGGAAAGGGGAGGTTTCGGAGGCTGAAGTTTATTTTGGAAATAGTGGCAGTAACAGTGCAAATAGGGCTTCACCAATGTCTAAAATAAATGAAGTCACTACTAGTCACATGAATGTCACTTTATGTCAAGCTGAACTTTGTGATGCAATTGTGGTTGCCACATCTTGTGCTGAGGTTCCTATTAGTATAAGTGATAACAAGACACACCAGAAAGAGGTTGCATTTTCAAGCATGGTTAGACTTTCTGCTTCTCTATCCTTGCCTTATCCTGAGAGTAGTGCCAAATTATACAACAATAGTTTGTTTGGAGGATCTGTTGAGTCTGTGGATGCAAATACAAATATTACGAAGTTTGAATGCTCCCAATTGCAGCACCCAGGCATCAACTGTCATTCACTTGAGGATTTGGCTATTCCAAATAATCAGTTCCCAGTGTTGGAAAACGAGCATAAAGAAAAGTCTCTTCCAGTTGTGCCTTTAGACTACACTCAAAAGGACATTTTTGTTTCTGGAAATACTGTGAGAGAGAAGATTGACATACAGGATGCTGAAAAATGTGACTCCAGAGAATTTGTAGAAAGATCTTCGAGTGCTGATTTGGAATCCAGTGATCCTCAAACAAAGGATGATTTACCTCTTGAGCATCAATCTCTGTCCTGCCCAGTTGATACTGATGCTGTTACAACTAGTGACTGCAGTACAGTATCGAATATGCTTTCTTCAGGGACCAAGCCTGACATACTTGATAGTAGGACTTCAGATTGTCAAGCAATCCAAAACGAAACCATTCTAGGGGATGAACATAATGTGAATAGCAGATCTAATGTTGATCAGGATTGCGACTTACCTGCTTCTACATTATATTCACAGTATACTAGAAAGAATATAAAGTCAAGTCCTGCAGCCAGACGAGATAACTTGATCACAGGGAAGATGTTGTCTCAACCTTTGCAAGTTGATTCCAAAGTTATGACTCAAGGAATGAATTCATCTTGTTCAGAGTTAAATTGTGGCAAAAACCACTCAGGTTCTGCCATTCCTGCTACTTTCCAGGGCCGATCTTATTTAAATTTTCCCAAGTCAAAGGCATCTGCATTTTCAACCCAGGTTTCAAAACTTCGAACTTGGCACCGTGCAGGTAATAATTCTGGTTCTCTAACAGGAAACAAGCCTTTGGCAGGATCTGTGCCTCCCAAAAGGTCAATTTCAGAAAAGAAAGGGAACTTTCAGAATACTTCTTACATCCGTAAAGGTAACAACAGTCTTGTAAGGAAACATCCTTCAGTTTCCGCTCCACCACAATGCTCTGCTAATCAGTCTTCTTCTTTGGGGTTTGATGAATTTCGAAAGAGCACTGGATCTGAAATTAAGGTTGAAATCCCAAATCAAGCCAATCTCTTGAAAACAGGATTGACGCACGCTCCCTTGGAGAGGCAAAGAACACCTCCGCTACCTGTTGACAATAAATTACCTAATCATATGGTAACAGCATGTGAGGAGAATAAATCTTTCTCATTACTGGAACACCTTTCCAATGTTCCCTGTGATAATGCATCTGAACCTAGAAACTTTATGGAACCTTGTGATGCTCCAAACTCTGCAGAGGATGCACTGAAGTTGGGTGGAACTGTTGAAAGTCTAACTCTTTCATCAAACAATGTGGAAAGCCAAGTTGAAGCACATGATGAGAATGCGTCTTTGGATTCAAAGAGAATAACCTATGTAAAGCGCAAATCAAATCAGTTGGTTGCCACTTCAAATTCTTGTGAAGTTTCTGTTGCTACTGATGACAATGTCCAGATGGCCCCTTCTGATGGGTACTACAAGAGGAGCAAAAATCAGTTAGTTAGGACTACATTTGAAAGTCAAATGAACCAGACAGTTGTGATGCCCACTGTAAACTCTGATGGGCACATGGCCCGAAAGGCTAGCTGCAACAGGAGGATTAGTAAGAGGCGGTCATTGAAGGGTATGTATGAATAACTCATCAAGTTGCCAAATCAATTGATCTCAGTCATGTAATTCCAGTCCAGGGAATGTAACTTGAACTGAATATTCTTCTTTGTGCTTGTGGCTATAACAGATGTGATTGAGAAATTATGTGATTTATAGGTTTGATCCAGCACTGGATTGTTTGCTCTTTGCTGTCTCGGGTTGTGCGGTAGTTGATAATACACTCATACTAGATATTTCCTTTGGTGCTTGTTACAGGAAACTTTCAATCGGTTCACGCATTTTGGGAAAATTTAGTTTTTTTTTCTTGATATTATGAAAAATAAGATATACTTTCATTTTTTATCCTTGGCTTTAAATAATGATATGATTACATTAAATACCTTCACGTTAATTAAGAAAAGGTAAAATTGGTAAAAGCAGTTCAAATATTACAAGGTGTCCTACATTTTGGTTCCAAAAATTACTTCTAAAAGGTATCCTACAAATTGGATCGGAGGGAGTATGTCTTAGGGTTCTGTTCTTTTGGTTTTAGATTGTCTGTTCAGATCAGGATTCCATGCTCTTTGAAATATCAGCTTTTCAGTTCTATTTGGGTTTTGATCCTCGGAGTAATTCTCAAATTTCTTTTTGTTTTTTCCCCATATTTTGTGTTTGTTTGCTGAACTAACAGGGAGTCATTTTGCTAATGTTTTCTGTCATTCTCAGCCACCATTCCTTAATTTCTTTCTGCTGAGGCATCAGGAATTTGTAGTGCATTTCCATTTATTAGTTCCTGTTTTCTTGAATAGTGGTTAGATAAACTATTAACTTAAGATTTCATATGCAGTAGTTGGAAGGTCATGCAAACCTTTGAGAGCCTCATTGGTGTGGACACTCTGTGGTGCAAGTTCATCCAAAAATGACAATGACCCTCTGCATCATCAGAAGGTTCTGCCTCACTTGTTTCCATGGAAAAGAGCATCACATTTACGGAGTTTCATTTGTAATCCTCTTTTGAGCTCCAATACTAGTCCGTTATCTGCAATCAGGTAGTTGATGATGTTTCTTCTTCAATATTTGGTTATTTTATTTATTTTTATGTTGTGCTGCATTATTTGCCCCAGCCATAATCAATTGTGATGGTCAATTACTATTTTTCTTTCAGCAAGAAATTGGTTCTCTCGAGAAAGAGAGATACTGTTTATACTAGGTCAACCCATGGATTTTCCCTTCGGAAATCCAAGGTGTTAGGTGTTGGTGGATCTAGTCTAAAATGGTCAAAATCAATCGAGAAGTCTTCAAAGAAAGCTAACGAGGTTAGTTTAGCTTTTGATACATATGATATATTGGGCCTTTTCCATTGAAATTTAGGTATAGTTTTTCCTAGTTCAATAGACTTTTCTTCTTACAATTGTTATGATCATTACAGGAAGCCACGCTTGCAGTTGCTGCTGTAGAGAAGAAAAAGAGGGAACAGAAAGATGTTGCTTGTATCAGTTCTCGGGCAAAGAGTAGGAAAATCATTCTTTCCACAAGAATTTCATGTTTGCTGCGATGCATGTTATGAGTGTTCACGTTTTCAAAATAGCATGCTCTTTATTTTCTGTGTCATTCTGACTTTAGAAGTGGTGGTTGTTTAGGAGAACGTATATTTCGTATTGGGTCAGTTCGTTACAGAATGGACTCTTCGGGGAGGACACTTCAAAGAATTTCAGGTGTTGAACCTTTATGCCTTTATTTATTTATTTATTTATTGGATGTTGCATGGCCTTCACCTTTTAGATTCACTACTTTTCTTAATGTGTCATGATTACCTAAATTAATACATTTTTCTGGGACACTGGACATCATTCTCAGGTAACTTTAAGATGTGCCCTAGGCAAGTGTGATCTAGAGTCGCAATTGTTTATATTGGATGATAATTTTGTGATTTGTTTCTTCGTTTTTTTTTTTTGGTTTATTAAGTTGGCAATTTTTGATACTTTCAATGGTTTACAATGTCATTTGATCTCACATGGATAAGCACCTCAAGTGCTTATTGATGAAGAGCTTATGTCAAATAAGCTCTACTGGCTGGGGTGGTCTGAAATAGACTAAACTAATTCATGTCTATGGAAATGTATGGATCCTCAACTTCAAAGGATCCGTTCTCCTCCTTGTTAAGATAGACACTCCAAGAGGTGTCTATTTTTTCATTGGAAAAATATCAAACGTAACTCCCTGGTGTCAAAATAGCTTACAGCTAAGTTGGTTTAAACTTTCCCATGCACATATTTCGATATGCATCAATATCAGCATATAGTCGCATTCTAAATATTAGTTCTTGGAGAAAGCTCATCCATGCATACAATTCAGTTAATAAGTGTTTGTTGGAGTAGATACACTAGTAATTAGCTCATCCAAATGAGGCCCGAATCTTCTGATGAGGTTTGGTCTTATGATAGAATTCTGACACCACTAAACTCCTTTTTTTGGTTTGTCTCTATGGTGGTAATATTCTCAGAATTCTATTGTTTTTTTAAATTGTAATGATTTCCATTTTCTTTCCTTATTTTTTTTTTATGTCAACATATTGTATGGAATATTTAGCTATATTTTTCCAAGAAGAAAGGCAATTTTTTTACGACTAATAAACCATAATGCTCTTTGTAGATGAGTCCATGCCCTCTGCTTCTCTCCGTTCAGGTTTGCATGTGAAAAGTTCATACATTCCAAGGAGATTAGTGATTGGAAATGATGAGTATGTACTTTAATATATTTATTTTATTTTCTTTGTTGATTTTAATCAGTTGGTAATAGCCTTTTACAGTTTCATCTATCTTTACAATTTTGTGTATATAAATGATAACATTCAGCATTCACAGATATGTTCGAATTGGCAATGGCCATCAGCTTATCAGAGACCCAAAGAAGCGAACTCGAATGTTGGCTAATGAAAAAATTAGATGGAGTTTACACACAGTTAGACAACGGTTGGCTCGAAAGCAGAAGTATTGTCAATTCTTTACTAGATTCGGGAAATGTAACAAGGATGACAGGAAGTGTCCCTATATTCATGATCCCTCAAAAATTGCTGTCTGTACTAAGTTTCTGAATGGTTTATGTTCCACTCCCAACTGCAAACTGACTCATAAGGTTCTGTCATATATCAAATCCAAGGGACTGGATGTGGTCTGCTGCATTTACTGATATGTCTGTCAAGAGTTTATATTTATTTTTCTGTTTGTTTTGTTTTGTTTTGTTTTTTCTGGCAGGTTATACCAGAGAGAATGCCTGACTGTTCTTATTTTTTGCAAGGTGCATTGAAGAAAGTTTTCTTTCTTTGAGTGATTAAAGATGAAATTATTATACTAACAAGTTGCATGGCAGGTTTATGCACAAACAGAAATTGCCCCTATAGGCATGTTAATGTGAACCCTAAGGCACCTGTTTGTGAAGGATTTCTCCGGGGCTATTGTGCCAATGGCAACGAGGTATTAAGCTATCATGTTGAATTTTCAGTAGAATTAGTGGGTAATTTAATTTGAATGTTAAGCTTATCCTTTCACTGAAATCAGGCATATCAGTCTCTTTACATGCAAATGTTTCATTTCTCTAGCATCTTCAAGGAAACAGATTTTGATGCTTCTGTTTGGTGATTTGACACAGCCCTTGGGGTTATTATGTTTGTTTTTGGTCAAACTGAATTTCAATTTTCAGCCAAGTTGAGTGCGACACCTTAGCCCTTAGGAATTGTATGCAGTTTTGCCTGCAGTTCAAGATTGTATGGACGATTTATTTCGTGTCTATAGTTTATTTTAGATAGTTTCTTAACTCTTGGAAACTTTAGATTGGTTGGTAACTGTGTCCCTAAGGCATCCAATTCCTCCCCCATATACAAGTGATCTTGCATTGAAGTTGTGTTGTTTTTGTGGTCTCACAGTGTCGGAAGAAGCACACCTATGTCTGCCCTACTTTTGAAGCAACAGGAATCTGCACCCAAGGGACCAAATGCAAACTTCATCACCCCCAAAAACAAGGCAAAGGAAAGAAAAGGAAGAGATCCGTAGAGCAGAGGAACTGTAAAAGGCGATACTTTGGTTCTTTACAGATTGATGCTTCTGAACCTGGGACGATGGTTGTAGCTCCTCGGCAAGAGGAACAAAATAAGGATGACCTTGAAGGAGAACTGACTGACTATATCAGTCTGGATGTCGATGACGATGAAGACGTTGCAGAACTTACAGGACAAGCGAGCGAGCAATCAACATTATGTGATAGTGAACCTGTGGATATAGTGTTGGATGATCAGGATGAACTCATTAAACCGGTTCTTATAATGAAATCTCTAGTCTGACAGCCCCCAGCCAGGCAAGTGGCAGGGGGACTATTTGTGAAGGTAATGCAATTTTTTACCTTTTTCCCCCTTATTTTATCTGCCTGGTTGATTTTCAATGCCCTCCTCCCGTCACTTGTACGTGTTTTACACTGTACAGCAACGTGAATATTATATAGATAACCTGCTCCAATAAGAGCAATTCTGAGCTTTCTGTGAACTGACTCTCTCTCTCTCCCTCGTGTCAATAGACACACACACACACACACACACACATATATGTATATATATATATATATATATATATATGGGTAGAAAAGAGGGCAACGCCAAAAATTGTTAATTAAACAGTTGGGGATGCAAATCTTATACAATCATTGATAAACAAGAGACCTTAAATAAGAAGGAACTCTATCTAGAAGAGCAGAAGCAGTAAGTGCTCCTCTAGCAAGTCTATCAACAACTCTATTTTGGGCTCTTGAAATGTGCTGTTGTTTGATATCCCTTGGAACGTTCAGTAATTTAAGAATTTCTAGGACAACTAGACTGTGTGCAGAGGTTGTTCTCCTGAAGAGATAAAATCTTCGGAAAAAAGCAGCCAATGACCATTAAATAAAATTTATATCAATCAAGGATCAATTAAATTTAAAATTGCACTGCAGTCCCTTGATTTTCAATATAACATTAACTCACGTGCAGGGTGGGTGAATCAATTGTTTTCAACAGTTACCGTCATGTGTTGGCTTATTTCATGTGCGTGATCTTACTTTTTCAACAATAGGCTTTGATGAAATTAGTAAAATTACCTGTGAACATATTGAGTAATATAATACCAAAGTAAATATTGTAAATACTAGTATCATGCTTTAAGTAGGCGATGTCATTGCTCATATTTATAGTCTTGATAAAGTAATGGCAAGTGAATTAATAGAATTCAAAACACACTCAATTTTTAGGAAAAATATGTTTGAAAAATTCCATATCTTTACTTTCAACAATTGTATTTTGGTTTAAAACATTGCTTTTTAAAACAAAAAATTAATAAACTGTACTTTGTTCAACATAACTAATGAACATGTAATCAGAAGTTTTAGAATCAACTTTTATATTTTCAAAATTAGGCAATAAAACTTTTATAAAACACTCTCACACTTTTAAATATTTTAAATTTGGGGTAAAACTTTTTTACAATTCATAAAGTATTTTTTTTCTATTTTCTTAAGAAGTATTTTGTTTTGTAAAAAAATGCGAACGAAATAGTTTCACCTCATAAGTTGTCAGAAGCAAAAAAACTCACAAACAAAGCATTCATCATTTTTTTTAAGTTTTATTTTTTCTTTTGCAACACTATTAGACTAAGGATAATAAAGAGGTGTAATCTCATGAATAATTTCCTTTTTCTCACAAAAATCATCAAACAAAACATATTTTCCCACTCTATCATATCTGGCTCTTTTTATCTTTTTATTCAACTAATTTTCAACCTCTAGGTTATACAAAAAGAATTTTTTAAAAACCTCATCTTTATTTCTTAACAAATATACTTTGTTATATCTTAAAAGTCATCAATAAAAGTGATGTAATCTCTTTTATTACTCTTGGTCATGATTTATTTTAGATCACCCAAATTAGTGTGAACTAACAAAAGTAACTCATACTCTCTTTGACAAGAAAAATGAGGTTTTTAACTTTGTTTGGCTTTTATGTGCACTTCATATTTTCTAAAAACATCATTTTTAATTTTAGAAATGAGTCCAAATTGAGATATTCTATTTATATTACTTTTAGTAGCGTGACCTAATCTATCATGCCACAAAATTAAAAGAATCAATCATAAAGACAAACATATACTCAAAAGATGCTTATTTATCATCAACATTTAAAACAAATAATCCCTAATTATAATACTTTTTTTTCACATATACATTATTCTTTGTCATTATAATTTTGTTAGATTCAAATGACACTTTAACCTTAGCTTTCCTAACAGAGTAATTAAAATCAAGTTTGCTCTAACTTTAGGCACATGTACAACATCGTTCAAAGCTAAAATCTTTCTTGATGTGAGCTATAAGACTACTTTTCCTTTTTCTTAAACTTTGGTAGAGAATCAGCAAGGTAAACACCTTCCTTTACATGATTATAGGAGGTAAACTAACACATATTTGCCTAGTAGCCCAAAGTTTACCACCCATTTCTTCACGTCAACGATTAAGAGAACTTGAGATATCACCATAGCAATAGTTCCATTATCATTGTTATCATCTCTTTGAACCAAATTCGCATTTGGCTTTGGAGGATTACCATGATTTGTTCTCTTTCTACATTGTATTACATAATGTTCTAGCTTATCACAAACAAGACACTCTTCTTTTTTCTTGAAAGAGGGGTTAGAAGAACTAGGTTTGTAATTAAAATTTTTTATTGCTTTTCTTATCTTTATTCTTAAAGTCATACCTTTTATTGTGAAACTTTGTCTTCATTAGATTAGCTTTGGATATCATTTTTTTACTTCCAGTTGCACGAATAGCCTTTTCATTGGTGTCTTCCATTATGATATGAGTGATCAGGTCGGTTAGAGACAATTGCTTCTGTTTATATTTTAGTTATTGCTTGTGGTCATTTCACGATTTTGGTAGCTTTTCAATAATAATCTTAGCAACAAACTCATGGTAAATTGATATTCACATCACAAAGTTTCTCTAATTGCTTGTGATATTTATTTATTTGCTCCTTCACATCTTTTTTTCAATCATCTCCTATATGTAAAAATTTCTTAGATGAGTTTGTTAGTACTTATACCTTTGGAGTTCCTTTTATGTGAACAATGTGAGACTTATAATGTTAATACACCACTCAATCAGTACAACACTTCCCACTAGCATATGCTTATTTCATTATTTCTTCCACTCTAAACTTTTGTGAGCATTATACAACGTGGAAAAGTGCTCTCAGGCTTTAAAAATCACTTCCGAACTTTAAATGATTTCATCACGTCAGGCTAAGGCTGGATTGTTTCATCCTTTTTCTAATAAAAAATTATTTTGAGATAAAGTATTTTTTCAAATTTTTAATATGTTTATTAGTTTTAAAAAATAATTAGAATCTGTGGGCCAAAAAAAATAATTAGAATCTAAAAAAATTAGATTTCTACTTGTTTTAAGATATTGTTTAAATGGTTTCAAAATAATCCTGGTAGTTTGAAGTTAGTATTTTTTTTTAATTTGTAAAGAAAAAGATATGGTTATATATGTCTGTGTTTGAATGGATAGATGGATGTGTTTGAAGATGTCATGATAATTCTTTTCATAAAATCGTAAATCACTTATTTGTTATTAATACCATATATTGCAATGGAGTAAATTTTACAATTTTAATATGTTTTATAATTAAATGCTTAAAAATTAACATTTATATGATTAAAATAGGCGTATACTCTGTATAAAAAAATAGCAGTATGCTTTTTTGAACGAAAAAAGAATGAGAGAATTATATATAAGATCCATACAAAAAAATTAATTATTATAATATTCATTAATGATTGAACTAAGATCATTGATAATATAATATATTATTTTAGTTTAGTTATTAATAGATTTTATGGTAATTAATTTTTTTTGTGTAAAATTTTAATGTAATTTTAAAAAAATAGGAGTATACTTATCAAGGCATGGGGTTACGTGCTTGGGTTACCGTTAATTAATGGCTACTCAAACTCAGATTTGGAAAATAATATTGTCATTTCAGGATACACACATATACATATATATCTTCTCACAGAATAGTATCGGCCCAACAATAGAATATTCTTAGAATGTAGAGATTTGCAGCACGATAGGATTACATTAAATTACTTTGTCAAGGACAATATTTTCGCGTCGGCATTTTGTGGGACAAGATCATATTAATTCCTTGTGTATAAATCATTCTCATATTTTCATGATATCCGATAAATTGACAGAAAATTCGTTTGAAACGGTCAAATTGACAGAAAACCAGTAAAATCGGTGAATTGTGTTCCTAATACATAATGCCGATGCCAATAAAACTAGTAATTTTTATTTTTTTTTTCAAAATCAAATCATAATAACATTTTCATTGAATCAAGGGCAAAAAAGTAAATTAACTCCTAAATTTTATATTAAAAAATGTTTGAGATTCTAAATTTGTTTTAATGCAATGTCCCCTCTAACTTTTGAAGATGTGCAATCTTACTTCTATAATTAATGAAAGTTAAATTTAAAATTTTTTTAGCTAAAAGAAAACCTCAAAAATTACAAAAAGAATCAATAAATTTTTCTCGATCATTTTTTTATGATTTTTGAATCACTGTTTGTAATTTAAAAGTCTTTTATTATAATTTTTTATCATTTTTTAGTTAAATAATAATTAAAGTTAACTTTTATTAGTATTATAAGCAAAATTATACTATTTTTAAAAGTTGATAAGAAACATTATATCAAAATTAAATTTAAAAATTCAAACACTCTTAAATTTAAAGAGAACAGTTGCATTTTTACCATTAAATTAAAGAGAAGACAACCTTTTACATTTTCGCTTTTTAATTTGTATGTGCTAATTAAATGAAAATTAAAAAAACTTAAAACTTATCCTATAAAATAAATTTTCTATAAAACATCAACTCTGATATTATATTTAACTTATAAAATTTAAAATTTATTAAATTAATAATGATAGATTCAATCATGATTTTTGGGTCACTGTTTCGCGTGATTTAATGGTTCATCTTGTTTTTATTTTTTAAAATGATTGTGACCATACTTCCACGTAAATATTGGCTAAAAAAAAATTACTTTAACTTTATTTTTTTATTTGATATATTGTAGCAGTAGTAATAATAATAATAATCGATATGATATTTTTTCAATTTTTTCTGATTTCTCTCTTATCTTTGATAACTTTCAATTAGAAGTAAAATCACAAGGATTCCACCATCAACCCAAAATAATAATAACAGTAATAATAATTCACGTAAATCAATCGACAGGCAAAATATTACTTTATCTTTTTTTCAATCCGCATCAAATACCGGTCTCTCCTCCCCCTCCGGTTTTATTTCACGTAAATGGTTAAAAAAAATGAAGAGAGAGAAATTTACGTAAATCCAGAGGCGTGGCTTTCAGGTCTACTTCGGTCAGTTTTAGTTCGGTATCCGCTTTTCTATAGCTTCTCTCATGGTCGATCTCT